TGCCCGAGAGCTATAAAATTTCCTATCCTCATTATTACGAAGACGCTCTGAACGACAGTCCCATTGACTATCAAGAGGAGCGCGATTGCATAGGTAATAAATATAACCTCATCTCGAACACAACGACATCGCAGGACACAGAGCAGCAGCAGCCGCAGCAGCCGCAGCAGCCGCAGCAGCAGCACCAACAACAACAACAGCAACAACAGCAGCAGCAGCAGCAGAAGCAGCAGCAGCAGCAGCTAAGCTTGACGAAGAATCGCAACAAGGCAACCAAGAGGTATTCGTCGCAGAACGTTACAGCGGCTAAAGCTAAATTCGCCGAGCTGCACTTCCGAGACGTCGGTCAGGAGATCGATGTCTGAAGGTACGAGGGACCAAGTCGTAACGAGCGCGGGGCTGATAATTTTTCACGGAGCGGTCCAACGTCACAACCGATTTTATTCTTTTAGCTTTATAATGGGCTGCGCAACACTGAATAAGAGGCGGCGCCACTGTCGCTTATTTCGTTGAAACAATTACTCTAACGAATATTTCCCTTATATATACCTCCTTTCTCATTCCAGGCTCTGTCATTTATTTTTCCTATCTTTACCATCCTTTACTTTGCCATCCATTAAAGAAATTTTAGGATTAATATACACTTTATAACTTTCGCTTTAATGTTAATATCGTGTCTTTAATAATTGATAATTCGTGCTTTATGATATTTATTCGATCGCTTATTATAAACGGTACGAGTACATTATTATACACAATTTTTTATGAATTTCCTACCAACACATTTAACATAAAACAATATTTCCTTTAGAATGAGCTTCGTTATTTATGAGGAGAGGTGAAGGAAAGCGTCGAATTTTGATATACTAAGATTATATTTGACATGAAATTATAATCCCTGTAATGTAATGCGTATGTCAAATAGTAAAATTTTAATGATCAAAGGGCTTGTGCAGATGCAAGTTGGTAATAGACCTGTCTCATTATTCTCTTGGCATAACAACAATTTCCATCAAATACATTCCCAAGGGTAAAATTTATTATCTTTCATAAGTAGCATATTTACAAATATTTTTATTCGTAGGGTCTGAAGTCGAAGAGCGAAACGTATATTTACTAAGGAGCATTCGCTGTACACGTCATTCAATTCTGCTCGAGAGGCTTCGCGACCGTAGGTACCGACAGTCTTTTCCTTTATGCCATACTTTAAAAAAAAAAAAAAAGATTTCGAATAAAAATTTTGTTTCGTCAAATAAATTGAATGATGATAATATCGTAGCCCTCTGGCAACTAATATCCCTTTACTACGAATGTCGTCGATACAAATGTCGATACACTTTATTATTTAAATGGTGCTCAGCGATAAATATAATTTACTCACTATATATATATACATATATATATATATATAATAAATTCAATTTATTTGAAAAAAACTTAAATATCATTGTACAAATTATATACGAATGCAACATGTGCCTTTGTAGGAAAGTGTCGACAAACCTTTCCCATAAAATCATATAATACTTTAATAATATATTAAATCTTAATAGTCATAGTAACTTAAGAGTCATTGACACGGAAAATTAACAATCTCTTTAATATAAGACAACACGACTCTTCGAGCATATATTATTATGATATGCCATATATAATTACGATCGTGTCCATAAAAATGAAATAACCTAAGAAATTAATATGATCGTTGAATTTTTATTGTAAAGTGAAAACTAATGTTAAGCTTATAAAATTGTTATTTGATTTTATGAATACACATGTGAATTCAAAATTAGTGAATTCGTTGACTGTCTCAAATGAAAATAGAAAATTGCTTAACAATGGCCTCATATATATTCACCTTTAGTATTTCAATACCTATGAAAAGATTTATGTTGATTAAAAACATTTAATGAACCACAAAGCCCAAACAGAATCTGTTTAAAGTTTAATATTGGCACGAAAAGTTAATTAATAAAATACCGCTTATAATGTTACATATATTTTACTTAAAACGCTATCTAATTATACAATTAAATGAATAATATTATTTTTCACGGAAGATTTCCGTATTATCGAGTCTTAATTCAGTTATTCTAATTTAACTTATTCACTTTGCAATTATATTAAACGTCCAAATTATATTTTCAAAACATATATAACATATATAACATATATAACATATATATATATATATATATATATAATAATGTCGGATAAAGCGAATATTAATTTGGAGTAAGTAATGTTTGTATTTTGGGAAATATCTTTTGGCACAAACAATCAGTTATTTAATATAATTATTCATTATGCAAAAGATAATGATAGTAGCTGGAATAATAATAATTATAACATGTATTATGTAATGTTAATGCATATATTAAGCTTTTTATCGGTTCTGTGATGTTCTTAGATACACAAGTGGTACACATAACCGAGGGTAAATATAATTGTGACAGTATATACATTTGCGTGATAAAATTCGCTGAATAATGTTGTTTGCTATTTAAATAATACAGTGTTAGCCACGTTTTCAAAATAAGACTTGGTTTGCGCACGATTTTTGCCGAGGTATATATGAGTTTAGAAATGCGTAGATCACACAGCATCTGCTTTTCTTAGCTTTGCTCGGGTTTTCGAGTCCCGCGGCTTAAATTTATGACATGAATGCTCCATCAGTGTTTATTATCCAGTAGGATATATGAAAATATAAAAAAGTCTCTGGCTGCTTTTTTTTTTT